AGTGAAAAGACCTTAAGGATGATACATTTCAGTATCATCACTTGGCATTGACGGTGATAATAGACTCAAACATCTATACACAGTGGAAAGAAATGTGATTTAGAATCAGAAACCTAAGTTCAAATGCTTAATCTGCCAGTTTCTGTGATGTTAGGTCCGTCACTTAATCTCTTTCAAGGTCCTCAGTTATAAAAGGAGATAGTAATAGCTTCCTCTTGTATGTACAGTGAGGAGCCAAAATGAGAGCTCTATCTGAACTATAAAACAATTGTCACATGAAAAGCATCACCAAGATTCTTTGGATCTACAGTGTCTGAGCTTATAAAGCTTATCCATTCATCTACCAACATATATCATCTTATCTTACATATGTATTTTTTGTGGGTTATGAAAGAAAAATGCTAATGACAACTAGCAAAATCTGTGGCAAGGGATAAGTATACAATAATTATTCCTGAATCAAGATTTTTTGAAGCCTCCTCAGAGGACTACCACCTCTCAGAGTTGAGAGGTAGATGATGAAGTCACCCAAAGTACCTTTCACACACACACACACACACACACACACACACCAGGCCCCAGTAAAAACCCTTGCCTCTCTCCTTTCCCTAGAAAAGGTAGTCTAATCAACCTTTGTTCACACTCACAGAAAAGCATACTTCCCCCAAAGAAGTCAGGACCTCTCACTCTCTGAACCTCACCCACCCTCTTTTTCCTTTAAAACCAGTTTTGAAAAAAACCATGTGAAGGAATAGGTTGAGCGACACACTAACCCTAACTGACTGTTTCTCAACCAAACTCTCCTTGAGAAATTCAACAACCACATCTGGGGAATTCACTACAACTGAAGAATGAAGATGGGGCCAGGCTGGGTGTTGCTACAGATGGTAGAACCAAGGGTGTTTTCCTGGATTGCTAAAGAGGTACTACGAATTGCTCCCAGAAACCAAATATCTTTGGGGTTTCAATGGTGGCCTTCACCTAAAAATATCCTCCCTGTTAAAGTTTTCAAACCATTATTTTCATAAGAACTCTATTTTCTTCTGTGAAGTAGGGCATTACAATGATAACTCTACAGGTTCCCAAGTGACTGAAGCCATCATTAGTGTTGTTATTATTTTTGTTTTGCTGCATCTCCATAGCAGCCCATGTTCACAATGTGCTTTGCAATTCTTTCTTAGTAATAGTCCTCACAAGATGCCCAGGAGGCAGAGGGGCTGACCAGGATTAACATTTCAGTGTTGCTAGAAGGATGCAAAGATAGTTTGCTGGCTGCCAACACTGTTCATACAGGATCCATCCTAAAACACAAAGCTCCAGCCCCAATCTGGTCCTATACTTACACTGCCTTTCTCTTATCTAGGATGTCACTTATGTCTGTGGCTCTTGTTTGTAACTATTATAACATGGAGAGGAACAGACTCGGCAGCAAAAGTAGAATCAGACTTTGCAAGAGGAATCAGATTTTACACATGAATATATACCTCAATGATCATCTAGTTGACTCCATTATTTATGGTTAAACAGGACCAGAGAGAATATCTAACTTCCACAAGCCACTTTACTACAAGTTCATGCTTTTTTGCTTTCTTATAATATGTTTTGGTGACTTACCTCTCTATTTTTTTATCTCCTCTTTCACCTACTTCCTTTACTTAAAATCAGTGCCTGAAGCATTGATTTGTTAAGAGTCTGGTGTTCTACCACCTGAAATGAGCTGGCCTCAGGATACTAACAAAGTCTTTAATAATAAGGACCAGAAAATACTGATGAAGTGTCAGACATTTCATGCCTTCCCTTTCCATAGCCACCATTCCCAAACTGAGCCGTGGCTTCTGTCTAGGGCTTTGCCCATGCTTCTCCCAGTTGGCATCTATCCTTAAACAGCTCAGCTTTGTCATAGGGAAGACTAGACTATAGACATAGGATCTGATAGAGGGCCCCTTTACTGTAACTCGGCTAGGGCTGAAAATTCTCTCCTGAAGGTCTGTCACCTCTGGAGGAAATGTGTTGATACCATTCAGAGGAATAAGAGGATCAACACTTTTGTGGTCAAATACCATGTTTCTCTCCTCCACCCTAACCTAACCAGGAGGTTATCACTTCATACTCAGAGAGATTCATGCCTTGTTTAAACAAACTTCCCTCATCAGAAATAATGGCTCATTTTTCCTCAAATGCTACTCCATTGCTGCCTGTGGGTACCAACTATTCTGCCAATTCATGTTCAGCCCTAGAGCAAACAAATAAATTAAGTCAAAACACAAAGTACAGCTCCTAAGCTCCTCTTGGACTCTATCTAACTATAATTCTGATTTGGGAATTTTTTTTCCATCCTCCTTTATCATGTATTCTTAGAAATTTGATAAGCTTCCTCCTGTTCTTCCCTTTTTCTAAGACTATGTGTTTATAAATGTGTGGAGCAAACAATAAAAAATGAACCAAGTTGGTAACTCCTGGCATCTTTGCAAACAGTATCTCCAAGTATATAATCTGTCATTATTCTGGTCAGTATCAACTTGAATGAACATTTTTTAAAAAATACAAAACAACTATTTCCTGTAAATTTCCCCTTGACGCACTCATGGCCACACCTACTTGAGGGAGACAATTATAAAAGGCAAAGAAGCCTGAGTCAAGCTTAAGTCTCCAGGCAGAGAGGGAGTCATTTCATTAGCACTTGAGTCGGCAAAGGTATTGTCCTTGTCACATCTCTGGCTTTGAAAATATCTTTTGTTCTGCCCTTTGACTGTCTTTTCTCAAACTACTCTCTATAAAAAGCTCTTCCTTTTTTCTTTTCTTATTCTTCCCTGATTTGATGTGTGAGCTAGAAATCACAGTCAGATTTCAGAAACTGGCTCTTTTGTCTTACTGATGGAGAACTGAGGGACAGCCAAACTGTTTTTATATGAAGGTGGCATCCATGATATAGCCAAATCCTCCTCTGGAGGGAATTTATACTGCCAAAAACTGAAAATTTCTAACTCTCTTGTCTCTAAGAAAGACATATACTTCATTATTGTGGTTTTTACTTTTCTCTTAACTTATCCAAGCATTGGTTGAATACCTACCATGTGCCATGCCCTGGGTTGGGCACATAAGGAATACCAAGGTAAATAAACCCATCTGAAAGAAGTTTACAAATTAGTAGATGCACATAAAAACAATGGAAGATGAGTGAGAAGAATATGGAAAAGGCTGAGTATGGGCTAAGTCATTTAATGAAGTTTCTCAAGAAGCACAAAGCTGAGGTGGCTGCTTTTGCAGGTATTGATTCAGAAATGGGCTAAACTGATAACCACTGGTATTCTCTGTTGCAGAAGTTAAGATGGCTGAAGTTCCTGACCTGTTTGCAGACCTGAAGAATTGTTACAGGTAAAAAAACAGATTCTATCTTTTGTGATTTAATGGGGGGACTCATGACTCATCAGAATACAGCTAGGAGTTACAGTGACCAGCCTAGGGCCAGGCTAAAACTATGGAGATGCATACTGGTCTTGAAGTCAGAGCAGGTTCAGAGAAGACCCAAGAAAACTAAATATCCAGCATGTTAAACTGAAATTACGTTGTCCAGAAGATGGACATTGCAGAAAAATTATTTTTGAGGTTTGCTGAGTCCGTCATGAGTGTCAATATTGACTTAGTCACAGCCTCAATTGAGTTCACGTGTTCTAATACAGTAATAGGTTTTAATAGCCTGTCTGAGAGAGAATCCATTCTCAGGAAAATGATCCCAGTCAGGAGGAGGAAATGGCTCCACATCAATTTGAACCCGTGAATGCACACACACAGTCAAACTTCATTCAGTCAGATACAGAAGAAAGACAAATGAACAAAGAGTTAAAATTACAGAACTAATATGATGTTTCCATTACAATAAATATTAAAACAAACAAGGCTAAAAAAACAAGATAGCTTGGATATTTTGTCAAATATAAACTCTTAAATCTGTCTTAATGAATACATGAAAACAATCAGTAACTTAGGACATATGTGGTGTTTCAGAAGTATTTCTTTTCCCTTAAGAACCTTAACATTTTTCTCTGTAATACAAATAAAGTTGTTAGTCGAGCCAAGTTTTTACAGATAAAGTACAAATAAAGTACAGGCCTGTTTTAATAATTATTAATTCCAGGGCCTCAGACAGGCTAGGCAGTCTCTCTACCACTTGAGCCACACATCCTTATCCCTAAAAATCCTTAATTTTCAAAGAGTAATGGTCTTTGTGTGTGCTTGTGTTATGTGTGTGTGTGTGTGTGTGTGTTTCACGTGCATGCAAAAGAGTTCTCTCTACTCAAAGCTAATATGGTCATTAAAATATTATGCCCAGTGATCACAGTGAGATAACAAACAGAATTACAGTCTCTTCAAATCTGTTTTTTACTTATTTGCTTATTTATTTATTTGGTGGTACTGGAGTTTGAACTCAGGCCCTCATGCTAGTAGGCTTGTTAGGCAGGTGCTCTACTACTTTGAACCACTTCCTCAGCCCTCAGAATTACAGTCTCATTGTCTTTTTCTGACAGTGAGAATGAAGAATACAGTTCCACCATTGACCAACTTTCTCTAAATCAGGTAAGCAAAAGATTGTTCTATGGGTCTGCTTTTGATACTCAGTAGTTCCTCCACCAGAAAAAGCACAACAGTGGGTTGAATCCTAGATACTTTTATTTTACCCTCACTAGAGATCCAGAGACCTGCATTTCTTCATTATAAATGAGACCACTTGTTTCTCTATGCTAGTAATTGAGGGTATTCTTCATGTTCACTGGCTTTTCCAGGACAAAGTAGGACTATCCTGTAATGCTGGGGAGTCTCTTGGGTCAGTCTGCTTCAGGATGTTAGTTATACCATCTGAGACAGTTCATTCAGGCCACATCACCAAGCATCTATCTCCTAACATGACATGCTGTGGTCTGATACCAGCACCAGAGGCTAGAGATAGCTCTCCAAACCTAACAGTCCATGAAGCTGAGGGAGAGGGAGCAGGTCAATTGAAAGTGAGAAATTTACAGACATTCACCAACCTGTTATTTTGTGTGTCTGTAATACTGGCTTTAAAAGTTGTTCCTAGGGGAACAACCATCCTGAGGCATCCATTAGAGATTGGCTGCAAGGCCTCATGGATTACCAACTTCTGCAGATGTTCAAGTCCCTTATATTAAATGGCATAGTACTTGTGTGTAACCTGCATACATCCTCCACTATAGTTTTAATTTTCTCTATATTACTTCTAATATCTGACACAATTTAAATGCTATGAAACTAATTATTACACTGTGTTGTTTAGAAAATAATGACAAGAAAAGTCTGTACATGTTCAGGAAGGCTACCACTTACTAGGATCATTTGTTAACCTATTTCATGTCTTAGAAATCATATGCTTTCAGAGAGATCTAAAAAAGAAGGAAGAAGGGAGGAAGCAATGAAGGGAGGGAGAGAGAGTGGAGGGAGGGAGGGAGGGAAGAAGAGAGGGAGGAAAAATGAGAAAGAAGGGGGAAGGGGGAGACTAATATGGGTTACCCAAGACCGAATGGAGCTTCTGCTCATTAAGTCTATAGGCTACAGTTCCTACTGAAAGGAGTCTCATTCCATAGCCATGGACAGCCTCTCAATTGCCATTTTCTTTCCTCACAGAAATCCTTCTATGATGCAGCCTATGGCCCACTTCATGAGAACTGCATGGATAAATTTGTGTCTGTGAGCACCTCTGAAACCTCTAAGGCATCCAAGCTCAACTTCAAGGAAGGCTTAGTGGTGGTGGCAAAATCAACCAATGGGAAGATTCTGAAGAAGAGATGGCTGAGTTTAAATCAGACCATCACTGATGATGACCTGGAAGCCATTACCAATGATACGGAAGAAGGTAAGAGATCAAGCACAATAATATTCTTGTTCACCAGTTTTAAGTAAATGGGGACAATAGAGTATGGGGAAATAAAATCTGGAGTCAGAATAACAAGAAGGCAACCAGACATTAGCTTGGTAACTATAACAAAGAAACAGTAATTTTTGTTCTCTCTCTGGGGAGTGGTAAGCAGGGGATTGAGTCTAAAATGTTTGCTAACAGGCTTATTTCTTGGCCACATTGTAAAGATCATGTGATTTAGTTTTTCCAGAAAAAGTAGTTATATTCTGTTACTAGGTGACATCTGCATATTATGTATCCTTCGGCATGACCATCAATTCCCTGTACTGTAAAATGGAAATAATCAGACTCCCTACCTCATTGGATTGCTGTGAAGATTAAATGAATCAATAATTCTAAACTCATAGATTAGAATAACATTTTGTATACAGTAACCACCTCAGAAATGTTAGCTGTTGACATCATTATTACTAGAACTTTAACACCACTAGCTCTACTAATTTATTAATGGCTGTACTATATCTCTAAGCCTCCAAACAACCTTATGTTATCATTTTACATATGAGAAAATGAAGCCCATTAAGACAAGTAGCCTGCCCAAAGGCACACTATCTGTAAGTGGAAGACCCTTAAATCTAACTCAGTTTGATCCAACTATGAAAACCCTGGTTTTCTTCCACATTTTTACTATACATGCTTCCACATGAAATATCAACTCAACATTCCTGTTTTTATGATAAAACCTAAATAATCATACAAGTCTACTCAGAGTTTACGTCAACACTATAGTATGTTCCCTTAGTCTTTTCTTTATACAAACACCCAAAAATTTTTAACAGTATTAAGAATATACTATATATAATCTTATGCTCAGCTTTTTTACTTAGCAATATATTGAGGACATTTTGCAGCATTAATTTTTCACCATTATAAAGAAAGTGACAATAAGCATCTTTATTGATAAATCTTCATATGTGCCACCATTTATTTCCTTAGAATAGCCTCCTAGAAGTGAAATTAACTCAGAGTTTTCAGGATTTGTGAAACTATTGATATATACCATTGTCCAGAAAGATGGTAGACCTATACCCTCAAGTGCATATTCATACTATATATATAATAATGACATATATAATTTTTACATATTTGTATCTCAGTGTACAACTTAGAAACCTCAAACAACCAAAAATGGAAAAGTTGCACAAATAATCTCTTTTTTAAAAAAGAAAACTATTTCATGAGGAATCAGTTTAAAAAGAAGCAAGTAAGTAGTAGTAAGACTAATTTTAGAATCAAGTCTACTGCTGACAGCTGATTTCACTTCTATTTCCTCATCTATATTGGACTATTCCTTATATCCCTTCCAGAGTTACTTCCCGCTTATACTAGCATGAGAGTATTATCTATATTTGTACCTAGACATGTGAACATTATCTATATTTGTACCTAGACATTAATCTGAACTTTTGATAATTGTTTTAGAAATCATCAAGCCCCGGTCAGCCACTCATACCTTCCAGAGCAATATGAGATACAAATACATGAAGATCATCAAACAGCAATTTGTCCTGAATGATGCCCTCAATCAAAGTATAATTCGAGACACATCAGGTCAATATCTCAAGGCTGTCCCATTAAACAATCAAACAATTAACCTTGAAGGTAAATAGCCAACTTGTCACCCTCCCCTCCTTCGATTTATTTCTTTACTTTTTTTCCTAGCATTCTGCTTTCAAAGCACAAACCTCTGTACATCCTGGGCTTCGCATAATTCTGAATTCTTCTAGAATAGAATGAAGCACATTACCCCCAGTGGAAATCCCGGGCAAGGACAGACAAATCATATCATATCAGCCAAATATCTTGCATATCAGCCAAATATGCAAGCTACACAAAAGAAGAATCCCCTATCTTTGAGAGCACTAAGTGGAGTATACATTGTCTGTCTGTTTCTTGTAGATATTCTTAATCCCTGATTTTAAAGATAAGGAAACTGAGTCTTGGAAATATTAAATGACTTAGTCAAATTTAACCAGAACCAAATGAGAAGCAATCACTCTCCATTAGAAAGCTGGATGATCAAACTTATGAATAACATCAAACTAGGAAAATCCTTGATATCTTTGATAACATAATGGTGAGACAAAACAGCCAATAAGCTGCAATAGGATCTAAAGAATGAAACTTAGTGTCAGAAAATTTTTGTCACATGGACCCAATTTCCAAGATAGACCTGTTTTAGCTGCAGGACTAGTCATCAGTATACAAAATTATTTTCAAAGAGGCAACTTTGCAATAAATAAGCAGTACTCTTTCTGGTTGGATGCCTTCCACTCTATGACCACTACAAATTATTTTGTATTCTATTTAACTACTTAATATTATTTCATACAATTTTCCTACATATTTGCCTTTTTCCTCCTTCTGGTGCTGAGGATCAAACCCAAGGCCTTGTGCATACTAGGCAGGTGCTCTAACACTAAGCCACACCATCAGCCCTGTATTTGCCATTTTCAATGCATACCACCACAGTCCTATGCTGGTCCCCTGGGTTTTCTATAATAGATAGACTTCCAATCATGACCTCCACGTATTTATTTACACATCAGGGGCCTAATTACACACACATGCACACAAACACTATCTGTCTAAACACTTGATTTAATACAAATGCAAAGGATTTACTTTCTTTTGGGCTCTTCTCTTTGACAGTGAAATTTGACATGGGTGCCTACATACCAGTCACGGAGGCTTCTAAACTTCCTGTAACTTTAAGAATCTCAAAAACTCGTTTGTTTGTGAGTGTGCAAAAAGAAGATGATCCAGTGCTACTAAAGGTCAGTTGTCTTTGGTCTCTAACTTATCCTCATTTACACCCCACTGTTTGTAAACAGTAGCCAGATGCCCCTAATAGAGAGATACAGTCTTCTTTCCTTCCTACCACAATACCCACCTGCTCACCTCACCCCCATTTGACCTATACTCAGAGACAATCCTAGGAAGGGTCTGTGAATGAGGACACTGGAGATGCGGGAGAAAAAAAGAAATAAGTTGCCTTCTAACTTTTTTCTCCTTGCCCTGCCTGAATCTATCTATTCATCTCCAATCCCAGGGCATCTATTTGCTCCATTCGTCTTTGCTGACATCTACTAACTGACCTACGTGACACTAGGCATTAGGACAATGTGATCTGCCTCCAAGAAACTTAAATAAATACCTGCCAATGCACACAAAGCAAAAGCTGGGAGCCAAGAGTCAAACTGGCTTTCTCACCCCAGTGCCTCTCCCTCTTCACTGGTGCTACCATTATCTCTCATCCTAGCCCCATCTTCTCTGTCTTCCCTTTCAAACACACACACACACACACACACACACACACACACACACGCACGCGCACACATGCGCACACACGCATGCACGCACACGTGCACACACACGCATACACACACACACGCATGCACACACACACACACACACACAAAGCATGTGAGTGCTGCGCATTGATGTTTCCTTCACTGATACATAGGTAATTCTTCAGTAAATGTATAATCCAATGCCTCCAATTCCCCAACTGCAATTTAAGTGGGTGTATGTGTTTCTCAGTCTGAATCAAGTAAAGTGAAAATGTTATCTACAGGGTAGGGCAGCAAGCTTCACTCATGAATTCATTCAACAAGCATTATTTACTGAGAGCCTTCTATTTTTTCAAGTGTAGTGCCAATAGCTATGGAGACAGTAGTGAGTGAAAATCCCTGGCCTTATAGAAGAACTTAATCTTCTGGGACCACAGTAAATCTTCTGGGACCAGCAAAAAGTATAAGATCCTGTAAACAAAATTAACAGAGTGCTAAGAGAGAGAGAAATGGCAGAATACTATTTAGATGAATGTTCCCAGCTGATGACAGTTGGGAACATCACATGCAAGGGGCCAGTGGCGGCAGGGCGTTCTAAACAGAATGGTTTAAGTGCACCCAGCCCTAGAGTTTCATGAGCCCAAAGGCCAGCTGCAAGGATCAGAAGGAGAACTCTTGGAGCTGGGGCAGTACAAGGAAGAAAAATATGCAGAGTTTATAGCACTTACATTTGTATTTCATTTGAGGTAAGATGAAGGAAGAACCATTAAAGGGTCTTAGATAGTGCAGTGTCCTGTCCTCGTTTATACATCTAAAAGGAGAATTAGACCAGAAGGAAGAGAATAGAGAAAACACAGAGTCCAATAAAAGGTTATGGTTGCAATCATGTTAGGGTAATGAGAACAGGTGAAAAGAAACAGACATATTTTGGAGCTATAGCCAACAAGAAGAGAAACTCTTTGCTGATATTGAGAACCCCATGGAAACCTTAAAGAGACATCTACTTGTTTTATATTTGAAAAAGAAGAGAAGGAGCATCTCATCATGGAATTTGAAATTTATTTTTCCATGAAAGTATTGTTAGATTCTGTTCATACTCACAGGGAGAGTACAATCTAAAGAGATTGTATTCAATCTCAGTTCAACTACTGATAAACCTGGAAAGAGGTGTGTGTGTGTGGGTGTGTGGGTGTGTGTGTGCTTAACCTTCACTTTTTACTTAAATGTGGGGACAGATGTCATCTAAAAGCTACATTTTTCCCTAAAGATGTAATTTTCACACTTAGAAGTCAAAATGTTTAGAGGTCTTAGAATTACCAGTGCTCAGATTTGATGCAAAATGCTATGTGACAATATTAAAGGCAGGGCACAGACAATGTTTCACCCCACCTGCCTGAATAGAGTAAGATACCAGTGTTGTTTGCAATCTTTGTGATTAATTTAGATTTTTGTACAATTAGCTAAGGAAATCAACACTAATTAATAGACTGGACCATACATCTAATAGGTATGTAACAAATGCTTGATGAATGAGTGAATGACTAATGAACCTGTATCATCACATCAGACTCATAGACCTAAAGTAGTTTGCCACTAAGGCCAATGACAAGGGATTGTGTTTCAGTTCTTTTCTAGTCTCTTCTTTCCCTGTAATAGAATTCTGTTTTCCATGTCACAGGAGATGCCTGAGACACCAAAAACCATCACAGAGAGTGAGAGCAACCTCCTCTTCTTCTGGGAAACTCATGGCACGAAGAACTACTTCACATCAGCTGCCCATCCAGAGTTGTTCATTGCCACAAACGAAGAAACTTTAGTGCACATGGCAAAGGGGCTACCGTCTATCACAGACTTTCAGATATCGTAAAACCAGCCTTAGCTCTGGAGTCTCCACACTAGTGGAGTGTTGACAGTCTGTATGTACCATGTACATGGAGAAGGCAAATTCTTTACTCTTAGTCATTTGCTGAGCATGTGCTGAGCCTTTGTAATTCTAAATGAATGTTTATCCTCTTTGTAAGAGAAGAACAAAGTCTAATGGAACCAACACTAATACATAATGTTATTTGTTATTTAAAGAACACCCTATACTTTGCACAGTACCAATAATTATAATTATTATTTTTCATAATATTCTTAGAAGGACTAGGGCTACTGACTGTAGCAACCAAAAAGAGTCTACCCTTATTAGAGATGGGTTAACTAAGGTATAAGAACTAAAAAACACACATAGTAACAGTTGGAATGAGAAGCCACGATTTCATCTCAACTGTGTGCATTCTGCTTCTAAGTTGCTGATAGACCTTTAATCAAATACAATAAGTTTCTGGTGCCAAAGTTTTATCATTTTCAAAAGGGAGGGATGACACATATTTCCTGCCTATTTTTTATGCCACTCAGGGAGGTAATTTTGATAAAATACCTCTTGAAGCTGAGCCTCAAGAAGATAGACCAAGGAATGTTATTTTTAATTATTTATATCTGTATTTATAAATATATTTAAGATAATTATAATATGTTATTATATTTATGGCCACTTTTTGCATCCTCTGAGGGTGGCCAGGCATTATCAATAACAGAGTTTTACGGGCTGAGTCAGATGTAGTTACACAAGGACACTGTGGTCCAAGTCATGCAAAAAATAAAACTGGGAGGAACTTAATTTTGGCAACCACGGAACCACTGTTATCTAAACTCTTTTCTGGAATGTAACCAGTATTTCTTCTGGGTTCTAAAAATTGTGATTAGTGTTATATTACTATCAAATATAATGATTGATACATTATTATCAGTCATAATTGAATAGAACAATAAATTTAATCTAACACATACTTATTTGTTATCTTTATTGTCTGGATTTTGGAGGGGTGTTTTGTTTTGGTTTTATTTTGTGAGGTGGTTGTTTTGTTGTTATCTTCACCATTATTTGACTGCATGGTAATTAGGGACAAATAGTAAAATTTCACATAAACAACTACAATTGGTACTAGTTTATAAAACCAAACCAATATTTTGTAGTTTTTTTTCTACAAAAAAGATTTTAGTTAAAGCTTATGTATATAGTGCATATGTATATATAGAGGGAGTCCATATAAACTAACACATACTGGTTCTCCCTCTTCATTTGTGAGACCTGCAATTTGGAAAGCTTGTTTTTATTATGTTCATAGTACATTGTAGAGTCTAAAGAATACATATCAAATGCTTTTGCAGTACGATTCTATTTTTATTTAAAATGCTTATCATTTGTACTCAAAAGATTATGGAAGGGCATACACCAAAATGTTAACCATTCTCATCTCCCAATGATTGAATGGTTTGTAAGTTTTATGGGTTTTTGGTTATATGTTTTCCTGACTTTTTAAGTGAATGTATGATTACATGACAAAACACCAATTTATACAAGATTTAAAAGGAGTTAGTTATTTTGGAGTCAGTTATTAATAAAAGGTTGAGTTCAGCTCCTTTTCCTTCTCTCCCTCCCTCTTCCCAAATCAAAGATCTGTGGTGTTAAAAGCATGTAGCACAGAAAGAGGTCAGCAAAGCACCAGAGATTTAGTGTTCAATCAATTCATTATTTCACTTGAGTAGCTGTTCTTGCTTTTACTTAGTGAATTCAACCCTCAGAGCCTAATCCAAATCAAGATAACAATTAAATCAAGCTCTGAAACCATGACTCGGGGAAGGTAAGCATTCTGTAAACCATCAGGTAAAGTCTCTGACCAGCCGTCAGTCATCCTTGGTGACTTCACCCTGCCTGTGCTCATTTCTTTCCAACTTCTACATTATATTGTATTTTGACTTTTGCCATAATTTTTAGCAAAGTCTAATATGATATGTGAGTAAATGAATTGGAGTTGTATGGGCTAGAAGAACTAGTGATAATACTGCATGGACTTGCAGCTACTTCTCCACAGTGTAGGTACTTTGAAAGGGAGAAAACTCTATTCATTCAATAGATATTTATTGAGTTTCTGTTTCATGATAAACACAATGAATATAATGATCTGCCCTCTGCCCTCAGTTTACAGACAAGAAGGGAGAAAGAACAGACAAGCTAATCACAAAGTGAATCAGGAAAACCTTCCTTGAGAAAAGAATGATTTGCCTGAGACTGAAGGATGGTTAAGAGCTAAGAATACTTGATAGAAAAAAAATGACTGCTATGGTTCAATATGTCTTAATCCCCAATGCAACAAGGTCATGAGGGCTCAGTTCTCCTGTTATTGTATATTATAGGCATGGATTCTTGATCAAAGAAAGAATGAGCTCAGTCCGTCCTCTCCTCTCTTCTCCTCTCTCCTCCCCTCCTGTCCTTCTCCTCCTCTTCCTCTCTCTCTCTCTCTCTCTCTCTCTCTCTGTCTCTGTCTCTCTCTCTCTCCCCCTCTCCTTCTCACCATGAAGATAATACAGCAAGAAAGTTCTCATCAAATGTGGCCCCTTGACCTTGGACCTCCAAGCCTCTAGAACTGTAAGAAATAAGTCCCTGTTTTGTACAAATTACTCAGGCCCAAGGATTCTGCTCTGGCAACATAAAAAAGCTAGGACCATGATCTATTTTTAAAGTCGGCAAAGGAGGCTGGGCACAGTGGCTCAAGTCTATAATCCTAGCTACTTGGGAGGTAGAAGATCATGGTTCAAGGTCAGCCTGGGCAAAACGTTCAGGAGATCCATTCTCACATGGCTCACAGCCTCTCATCCATAGATGGAAGTGCAAATAAGAGGATCACAGTCCAGGCCAGCCCAGGCAGAAAGCAAGTCTTTATCTCAAAAATAACCAAAGTGGTGGGACTGGAGACTTGGCTCAAAGGGTAGAGTGCCTGTCTAGCAAGTGTGAGGACCTGTGTTCAAACCCCAGTATCTACAACAACAACAAAAAAAACATGTTCAAAGGATCTGACATATCTTTGAAGAATACTGTACATTCACATGACGAATAAGCACATGAAAAGATATTCAACATCATTAGTCATCAAGGAAATACACATGAAGACCACATCAGATACTACTTCACACACACTAGGATGATTACAATCAAAAAGATGGACAATAACAAGTGCTATTGAGGATGTATGGAAACTTCACACTGCTGGTGGGATGAAAAGTGGTGCAACTGCTTTTGGAAAATATCTAGCAGTTGCTCAGATGGTTAAATATAAAATTACCATATGACCTAGTTAATTCTACTCATAAGGTGTTTCTTAGTTCATTTTCTATTGCTATGGCACAACATCTGAGACTGAGTAATTTATAAAGGAAAGATCTTCATTTGGGCTCACAATTCTGGAGGCTGGGGAGTCCAGGATTGGGCAGCTGCATCTGGTGCAGGCCTTGTGCTTCTTCAGGACAAGTGATTGCATGCAAAGAAGCAAGCAAGAGGCACTAGGCTCACTTTATAACAAACCATTCTATTGGTAATTTATCCAGACTCCTATGAATTCATTCAGTATTACAAGGAAGGCATTGGTCCCTCTTGACAACCTAATCACCTTTTACAGGCCCCACCTCCCAACCCTACCACACCAGTCAAATTTTAGCAAGAGTTTCAGAGAGAACAAATGATAGCAGGTATATACCCATGAGTATTGAAGGCATATGTCCAAAAAACTTACATATAAATGTTTATGGCAGCATTATTCATAACAGCCAAATAACAGAAACAACCTAAATGTCCATCAACTGATGAATGGGTAAATAAGATGGAGTACAACCATACAATGGAATATTATACAATCATAAAAACAGAATGAAATACTGATATATGTTGCAATACGGATAAATCTTAAAAATATGCTAAGTGAAAGGAGCAAAGACCACATTTTACACAAATCCATGTTCATAGAATGTCCAGAACAGACATATCTGTAGAAATAGACTAATGGTTTCCAGGGGCTAAGGGAGAGGAGAATAGGATCTGACTGCTAATGAGTATGGAGTTTCTTTAGGAGATGATTAAATGTTCTAAAATTGGATTGTACACTGTATCTGGGTGAATTGCATGGTAAGTAATATCTCAGTAAGGCTGATACAGTAAAAATAATAATAATTAACTAGGAGAAAGGAGGAAGAGGGGGTTAGGTTCCCAAAGAGAAGAGTATGGAAAGGAACTGAAGGAAAAAGCAGTATACCTCAATGACAGTGAGTAAGGAAGAGTGGTCTGAGCTAAAGCTGAAGAAGTAAGCAAAGACAGGCCCCTCAGGGACTTACACATCTTTAGCATGAGAGCAATCGAAATCCATTAAAGCCACCAGGACCAAGGATATCTGCTATGGATACTCTTCTGGATGAAATGAGATTTTTAAACCTGCCTAGCTTTCCCCCACATTTCATATCCTACAAAATAGTCCCTCAAATATCCAAAGAATGGGGAAAAGAATGTAGAACTGACCTATCTTGCTCAAAAGGATGAAGACCAATGAAGAAGATGGCATATTTGAGCTCATTATAAGCAAAGGTTCATAATAAGAAAGCTCCCCAACACTAGCAGCGTTCCTGCAAAAGTGCAATACCTACATGGGATCTGGCGAATACTCTGCCACAGGGTAGGAGACAGGGCAAGATGACTTCTAAAACTGCCACCCATCCAATCACTTAGTTTAACCAAAGACCAGAAGAGCCCCTCTCACTTTTCCTAAACTGTCTGTGAAGGAGCCCCTTTCTTATTCATTCACAAAGAAGGATCTTGCCAAGCTACTAGTTTAACCATTAGGCACAAAGTCATGATCCTAGACAGAGTTCAGATTTTTAATTGAAATTCTTCTCAGTTTTCCTGATTCTTTAAAACCATACTTTATACTACTTAAGCAAATGTTAAAGTGTGTAAGTCCAGAAACCTTTGCATGATTCTTTTCCAAACGACCTACTTAGGACCAAAGAAAAAAGCTGCTGCTGTGTCTTCAGGCCCTGGTCAGTACCCAACTGTGAAGTGAACCCCCTCAAACAAGGGCCTGGCCTCTCTCTACCCATTACCTCTCCAGTGTCAAGGGAAGAGTTACCTTAACACACATGGTGCCAAGAACCTTTCCCAGAACTCTTCATGAAACTGCAGACTAGCTGAAACCAAGGGCCAACATCAAATGAAAAAAATATAGGATGGAAACAAGAGGCATGAGGTGCACCTGGGGACTCAGGACAACTGGGCTTTCCTCTCCCATCCCAGCCAGAAGAGCCAAATCAAAAATATGCATTAAAACAGAGCCACTCTGCTGAGCATTGTGGTACATGCCTGAAATTCCAGCTACCCAGGAAGCAGAGGTAGGAGAATCAACACTGAGGCCTGCACAGGCAAAGTCCATCCCAGACCCTAACTGAAAAACTAAAAGCAGAAGTACTGGAGGCACGGCTTAAGTGGTAGGGGAGCGTATATAAGGAAAGGTGTGGGAGGGTGAATATGGTGGATATATTCATGTACACATGTATGTAAATGGAAAAATGAGACCTGCTGAAACTCTAGGAATGGGGGGAGGGCAGATAAAGGAGATTGATGGAAGGGGTGAATTCAACTATGATATATTGTAAGAACTTTTGTGTATGTTACAATATACCCCCAGTACAACAATTTAAAAAAAAAAACTTAAAATGATAAATTTTGTTATGTATATTTTACCATCACTAAAATTTAAAAAGAGCCACCCTAAGAAATAGGTCACTTTATCGGATCTGTAAGGGATAGAGTTACATACCGGTGGTGAGGCGCCTAACTAGATTGGGGGGAGGAGGGGGAGTCATTTTTTTTATATAGCGCCTGTGACCTCGGGGGTCTAAGGCAGCAGTGCCTTGTCATTCCCTTGGTGAACAGCCCAGACTACATTTCCCCCCACAACCGCGCCTTGGGACACTCAGCCTCTGAGATGACAGCCGCACCTGCGGTCTCCGAGGCGGGCTCCACCGCCCACCAAAAGCACCGCCTTTAACGCCGACGTGAGCTGCACGTTCTGCCAATCAAAGGACCCAGCGCAGAGTTCCGCAGAAGGTCTAGTTCCTGTTGGCCCGCCCTCTCCTGCTTCCGATTGGCAAGTTTCAAACGTGCGGAAGCCAATGAGAGCGGGCAGACGCGCGGTGCTGCGACCTCGGCTGCAGGCGCGGCCTTTGAAGAAAAAACTGTCATTGTTGGAGTCATGGTGGGGCCTGGGTCCTCCGCTGCCGCCGCCGCGGGTGAGTACAAATGCGTGTCCCTGTTTCTTGCAGAGAACAAGGCTGGAGAAACAGGAAGGCCATAGAGTGAGTCCTTCCCGCGGGAGTTACCGGTCCGCTGTTGTGTCTGCCTCAGTCTCCCCAGGGCGTGGCGCCCAGGCCCTGAAGCCCAGGGAGACATCTGAACCCGTGGTAGCGAAGACTGTGCGCGGGGGGCCCTGTAAGCCCTGTAGCAGCCCTGCAAGACGGTGTCATTGTCCCCACGTTGGAGATAAGCTAGGGCGGCCTGCCCGGGTCACGGCCCCCGTGGGGAGCGCTGCTGTCCGCCCCCGCAGTGCTGGGTGTGGCTCTCTGTGCGCTACACCTGAGTTTTGACGGGGACCGGGAGGCGGGGTCTGACCCCAGGCCCAGTCTCCAGCCGGGTCCGCAGCCTGCTGCAGGCGGGGAGGTGGATTGATCGTCAGCGCTGCCGCCAAGCTCCTGCGGGCCCTGACCTCCTAGACTACCTGCAGCCCTCTCCTGCCCTCCAATACTCTGCTCGCATGCCACCTGCTCCCAGGTGCTCACGATGTCTTTTTCACATTGTCGAGTAGCACATATGATTTGTGAAAAGTGGGGGATTCGTTGTGCATTCAAAGAACTCTAATAATATTCACTCCTGTATTTCTCATTCCCTCTCCTCCCACCCCTCCCCCTTTTATCTCTCTTTCAGTTTTTAAAATGTATTTCATTATGACCTTTTCGTGCATGCCTACAATGTACTTGCATCATATTCTCCTCCCTGCCAGTAGTTCCCCATTTATGTTCATGTCTATTTGTTTTTTCTTTACATCTAGCTTCCACGTATGAGAGAAAACGTGTGATAGTTGTCTTTCTGAGTGCTTATGTCAAATGACATGATTTTACTCTTTATGTCTGATTAATACTCCATAGTAAATACATACCACATTGTATTTATCCATTCATCTGTTGATGGACACACCTAGGCTGATTCCATAGCTTGGTTATTGTGAATAGTGCTGCAGTTAACATGGATGTGCAGGTATCTCTATTGTGTGCTGACTTGTATTCCTTCAGGTATAGCAGGGTCATATAGTAGTTCTATTTTTAGCTTTTTGAGGGACTGCCATACTGATTTCCATAGAGGCTGCACTAATTTACATTTCCACCACAGAGCTGGGACTCCAAACCCATATGGTAGATTCCATAACTCCTGCTCTTTACACTGCCTGGCACAGACCTATGTGTTGTATTTCTTACAGCTGTCTGATGAGGATGCATTAGAATCAGCAAAACAAAACAACCCAGTTTAGATGATGTTAAGAATAGTTTTGCACTCCCATAACCTTTTTTCTTTTTAAATCATTATGTAATCTTAGTCTTTCCCAAACACCTGCTCCCCTAACCATTCCCTACAGATGAGCTTCCATAATTTGCTCTTTGACCTTCTCTTATGACACCTGGATTTTGCCATATATTGTAACTATTGTTGTGTTTATCTCCACTAGTAGATTGAAACTTCTTGAAGGCAGAAATATAATTTGAGTCTCACTTATCTGAAATGCTTGAGACCAGAAGTCTTTCAGACGAGATCGGATGCGTTCAGGGTGGTATGCCCAAAGACCAGAAGTCTTTCAGATTGGAGATTTTTTCAGATTTTGGAATGTTTGTATGCATAATAAGATGTGTTAGGGAAATCAAAATCTAAGTGTGAGACTCATTTACATTTTTTGCAGTGCAGGGATTTGAACACGGGTCCTTGTGCTTGTGAGGCAAGTGCTCTACAACTTGAGCCATACCCCTAGTCCTTTTTGCTTTAGTTTATTTTTCAACCTTGGGTGTCCTGCTTTTGCCTAGGCTGGCTTCAAACTGCCATCCTCCTGTAGTAGCTGGAATTACAGGCATGAGCCACCATGCCCAGTTTAATTTACCTTTCATGTACACAGCCTGAATATAATTTTATACAGTATTTATGGTGCACCTGCATTTTGACTGACCAGTCACATGAAGTCAAGATTGAATTTTTTACTTGCATTATGTTGGCCCTCAAAAAATTTTAGACTTTGGAGCATTTTGCATTTCAGATTTATAGATTAGGATGCTAAATCTGTATTGCCATTTCATCTTCTCACAAATGCATTGCATAAAAAGTTATCACATAGATGTTTGCCAGTAAACCCCCTAACCTGACCTATTTTTTTCTTTAGTCCCAATGGGAACCAGGTAACGGTTTATGTGTAAAAATCATCATCCTTCTCAGAAAAACAACAACAACAAAAAAAAAACATAATTAATAAGACCAGCCTTGGCTCATCAGCTCAGGTGGGCTAGTAAGAATTCTTCATGTAAAGTGGGGTGTGTTATAGCTGAGAACATTGACTTGATTTAGGGCTCTGGGCTTTGCTGCATATTAGCTGGGTAACTTAAAGCATGTCATTTACCTTGTTTGAATTTCAGACTCCAAAATACCTTATTGGATTGTTTTATAGATTAAAGAAGTAATGTAAGTATAAAGAACTTAGTACAGGGTTTAACATGTAAATGGTATTGTTGATGTTAATATTAAACTTGAAGGCAAACTTACAGGACTGGGTACTTTATCACATTATGTTGCAAAGACAAAGTCAGTATAGAAAATATCATCTATAAATGAACTGGTTAAAATCTTGAGCTAAATTTCTGTTGTTTGTTTGCTTCTGTGTTTTGCAGAAGAGCGGCACAGAAAGCTCCAGGAGTACCTAGCAGCCAAGGGAAAACTGAAGAACCAAAACACCAAGTAAGTTTCTCTCCCCACAGTTATGCCAATTTTGTTACTCTGGTTGCTAATAGCAATTTAAGACCTTTTAAAAACATAGCCTTAGCCCTTTTTTGTTTGCAACCTACTCAGCCTCCATTGGTTGGGATCCTATGATAACACACACACACACACACACACACACACAAAGCATTTCAGTCCAGACATGATAAAACCTCCTGGGTAATACCTAGTCTGTTGGCAAAGATTCAAGCATTATTGCTATAATGGTCTACAAAGAAAAAAGGAAAGGACCTACAATGTTATTCACTATGCTGAAGCTTTTCTTATCTCTTCTTTTTACTGGTAAAATTGATTCTCATGAAGACAGCTTTTAATCAAGCTGTTGACCCTGATTTTAGTGTTTCTTTCTAAAGTAAGAGAGCCACTTATAGTCAGTCCACAATACGGGCACACAAAGAACCTCCAACTTATACTTTTGAGGAAGACTCTTATCTTTTATTAATGTATTTTTTTCCCACTTGGATTGCTCAATTTTTATTTGAAAATTAATTTTTACAAAATTAGCTGTCACCCTTAATTTTACCTTGGGTTTTTACTCAACTCTATTTCCTTGATTAAATGAACCAAAACCATTTACTCAACATATATTATTTAGTATCTATAATATGCCAATCATTCTTTTTTTTTTTTTTTCTTTTGAGGCACATGTCTTTCTGGGGGCTCAAGTGGTAGAGTACTTCTCTAGCAAGCTTGAGGCCCTGAGTTCAATAGCCAGTACCACAAAAGAAAAAAAAAAGTGAGAAAGAGGGAAGGAGTCTTAATGTGTAGTTCAGGTTGGTCTAGAACTCACCATGTAGCCCAGGCCAGCCTCAAATTCATGATCTTCCCGCCCCAGCCTTCTGAGGGCTGTTATTAAGATGCGTGTCACCTCTCCCAGATATATGGTACTTAATAAAATAGAGAGGTCCCTGTCTTCCAAAAGCTTATGTTCTAGATGATCAAAGCCCCAGTTAGTCTAGCAATTATTTTGGTCCATGGAGATTGAATCTTTCTAAATTCTGCTCTTTTCTCCCTTTTTTGTGTTTTTGTCTCACTACCTAGGTTTCATATTGTGTCCTTGTTTTTTAATTTCAGTCATGCCTCAGTATCCATGGAAGATTGAATCTGGGATTCCCCACAGATACTAAAATCCACAGATGCTCAAGTCCCTTATTTAAAGTGGCATAGTATTTGCATGTAATCTACACAATCCTTCCATAGACATTAAATCATTTGTAGATTATTTACAATACCTATTACAATGTAAATGCTATGAAAATAATTATATTGTTTTACTTAGGGAATAATAACATGAAAAGTCTGTACGTGTTCAATACAGATTCAGTTTGTTTTTCAAATTTGGAGGAGGGGGATGCACTGAAATTTGAACTTGTGACCTCACACTTACTAGGCAGGTGCTCTACCATTTGAGCCAGCCCCCCTATCCCCAACCCTTGTTTTTCAAATATTTTTTGATCAGAGATTGATAAAAACAACAGATGTGGAGCCCATGGATGTGGAGGGTCTACTGTATATCACTTTTTCCTCCTAAAAATCCACCATTTGTAGATATAACAAAGAAGTTTTTTAAAGAAGCAGATAATTGTCTATTTCTGGCATATCTGGCATATCGCAGTGTCAAGGAATGATGCTTAAATGAAGAAATCAGATATATTGCATTAATATTTTTAGGATAACACATTTATTCATAAGATATCTCTGAAAGGATCACAAAAACTTTTGGGTAAGAGCAGTTGTGATCTGGAAGAGGAGAATACAGGACCAGGAAGGAAAAATGAGACTTGCTTTATAATTTTGAATTATTTTAACCATATACAGAAATTCTAATGATTGAGAATTTTAATTATAATTTTTAATCACTGCAATTCCTAAGCCTTGCTGATCCCTTTGTATTAAGTATTAATTTTATTTTGTCTTTTCAGGCCTTATCTAAAAGCCAAGAATACCTGCCCGAATCCACCACCTTCTAACTCAGTAAGTAGAAATTAGTCCTTAAAGAAATACCCATTGCGAAAGTATGATTGGTAAGTAATAAAATAATAAAGATACTAGCAGCCTGAAGAACATGTATTTCAAATAATTTCTCTTAAATGTAAGAGCACTTTGATTATGGTAGAGCGCCTGCCTAGCAAGTATGAGGTACTGAGTTCAAACCCCCGTACTGAAAAAAAAAAAAAGAAAAAAGTACAGCATATTGTAGTTTAATTTTGTAGCAAAAAAAAAAACCTTAAGTAAGTTTTGGGCCTCTTAATAGTTAACATTTGTCAAATACTTAGTATGGACCTGTTACTTATTGATTTGCATTAACTCATTCAGTCCTCACAACCTTACAGGGGTAAATACTATTGGTAGCCTCAATTTATAAATTAGGGAACTGAGTCATAGAAAAGTAAAATAGCTTCCCAAGATCGTGTAGCTACAAAGTGACAGTAGAGTGTCAGAAGCTCTTAACCACTCTGATATACTGCTATACTGCCATAAAGTTAAGCAGCACCACAGTCATTAAAAGACAACACCTAGGGCTAGGGTGTAGCTCAGTGGTAGAACACCTACCTACTATGCCCAAAGCCCTGGGTTTGATCTCCACCACCATACTAAATAAGTAACACCTATGCTGAATATTCTAAGCTGTTTAACAAGAATATACTTCTAAGCCAGGTACTAGTAGCTCACACCTGCGATCCTAGCTACTTGGGAGGCTGAGATTTGTGGGATTCAAGGCCAGGGCAAAAAAGTTAGCAAGACCCCATCTCAACCAATAGCTGGGCTTAGGGAGAGGGCGTTGTTTATAAGACATGGTAGCACATGCTTGTCATCCCAGTGATGGCAGGAAGATCATTGTCCAGACCTACCTAGGCAAAAAGCTAGAGCCTATCTCCAAAATAACCAGATCAAAAAGAACTGGAGGTGTGGCTTAAGCAATAGAGCACCTGCCTAGCAAATGCAAAGCCCCCAGTATCACCAAAAAAAAAAAATGCTTCCTAATCAATTCAGTTCAGTTAGGCTGTGGATAGAATGATAAAGTATCTAATATACTTAAGGTTTAAATGGAAGAAATTAGTGTTCTTCTGCAATAAAGTTACCCATAAAAATCCCATCTCTAATTTTTAAAACTATAGTTTTATTGAAGTTCTAATGTGCTTTGTGTTGTCGACAGTGAGATAGTTGTACCAATTTTAATAAGTTTTCATTATTCCATCACTATGTATATGTATGCATACACATACATATTCACACATGTATACATATAAACATTTATATGCATATGGGCATCTGTGTGCCTCTATGGACATGTGCCATTTGTATGCATGACATAGTTGGATACTGTGGAGTATTTAAAAAAATGTATGTAAGGCAAAATTAGTGTGCAATGATATGAACAGTGAGGAAGCACTTGGTTATATTTCTACTTTAGGCATATTGCACCAGCGTGTGGTGCAAATTGCAAAGGAAAAAATCTGGAAAGGGCCCTCATCAAGTTCCCAGAGGCTTTCTCTTATGGCAATAATAATGACTTCAGTAAATCATGTCTTAAATGAGGGTAGCATCCACCTTATCTGCTTTATATAGTTGTAAAGATAAAAATAAAATAAGGCAGGAAATTTTAGAATTTAGTAGAAACTAAAAAGGCTATGTAAGTCATAGACATTGTTAGACTTATATAACACACTTTTATAAAACACTTTTGGTACATATCAGCAGTTAACTTTTGATTACTTACTGTTATTCAAGGTACTGGGTGAGTTATATACATTATCTCAGTACTAAAATAGGCCTGTAAGAAGGTGGGCCATATGATTTAGAGGTCAAGCCAGACCACCTTTAAGAGTAAAAAGAAGTGTTACTAATGATTATGTTGGACCCAAAAGCCTAAATCAAAACTGTCTTATGAAAAGGAGAACATATGACACCCCTTCTAGAAGATAGATATTATTGTTAATATTATTATGCCCATTTTACAAATGTGAAGACTGAGGCCCAGAGAGATTAAGTACTTGGACAAACTATGCAGCCAGTAAAGATACATGAACAGAACTTTTCCAGGATACCCTTACTACAGTGCTACCCCTAACAGGAATATGAAAAGTTTTTCATTTTCTGTTCCTGTGCAGGAATTTCAATATAACCAACCAGATATTCTTAAATCTGTTGAGAAACAGTAATGTATAATAGTTTAGAATTGTCTGGGTCCAAATCCTAACTCCATTTTATAGCTAAGTGACCTGGGTAAGTTATTTAACTGTATGTGTAAAATGAGTATAATAGGAGACATCTTGTAGAGCTGTTTGAAAGGATTAATTAAGAAATATTGAGGCATGATTAATAATGCCTATAGATTGGGATATGTGTTCCTCCAGAGGTGCATAATGACTATGAAGCCACACATTCCAACAGAATCAATTTCAGATCTTCATCTTTCAATTACAGTTTTTCCTAAAATTGATTTGTTGTAGAATATGCCTCAACTGCAGTTTCTGTTTTCCCTCTTCTCTTGGCACCTTCATCCTTCTTCCACTTTTCAGTTCTTTCTTTCTCTGCCTGTTATAGGTATACTACTCATCCATTTGGTTTTATTTGTGATTTTTTTGTTTGTTTTTTGCAGTACTAAGGTTTGAACTCAGAGCTTTGCACTTGCTAGAAAGTGCTCCACTGTTTGAGCCATGCCCCCAGCTCTTTATCCCTAATATTAGTACTTTTACCTTGTGATGGAAATACCTGCAAAGTACAAAATCAAGGGACAATTTGAAATAGTGTTGTTGATGATAAGAAAGCCTTTTGCCACTCAAGTGGCTTTCAATCCTTTGCATTCAAAGTTATCAGCTGGTGGAACACAAGTTTTTTTGGTGTGGTTTGGTTTGGTTTTTGGTGATCCTAGGATTTGCAAGGCCTCAACACTTGCTGGACAGATGTTCTACCTCTTGAGCTATGCCCCCAGCCCTTTTCTGATTTAGTTATTTTTCGGATTGGGGCTCATGTGTTTTTGCCTATGCTCTCCTGGACCACAATCTTCCTTCTATGCATCCTTTGTAGCTGGGATTATAAACCACGCCACCATACCAGCTTTTTGTTGGCATGGAGGTCTCACCAACTTTTTTTGCCTGGGCTGTCCTTGAACCACAATCCTTCCAATCTCTGCATCTCTAGTAGCTGGAATTACACGTACCCACTACCACATCCAGCCAGATTATTTTTGACTGAGAGATTTTTAGCACAAACCTCCAGATTTGCTCAAAACAATAGTGTTCCTGCTGTAACAAACATCTTCTAATCCCATCTACTTATCAGAAGGAAAAGGAATAAAAATGATGCACAACCCTATCTCATTCTAGCAATAAATAATATCAAATACATAAACAATGCTGAGTTTGTTAAAATTATTCTACATGTATATAAACAAAAATGTTTGAAAACCACTGATAAGGTATAGTCCACAATCTTTGCCAGTTGCTTTGGTGGCCCTTATTTCATTATATCATAATTTTCTTGTGGTTATGTCTTTTCACTTAGAAGTCCTCAGGGGAAGTGTGATCTCATCTTTTGTCCCCTTAGAGCCCAACACAGTGTCTATTATACAGTCACCGTTCAATGAATTTCTCTTAATTCCAGCCCTAGTTACATCCTTTGTGAATTTTGTCCTTTTTCCTGTTTCATATGCCCAGACTGAAAATAGCAAATTCGGTTTGACTCAGTCGTTCCTTCTTTTATGCTTTGTCTTGGTTTTTTTCAATTTGACCTATCAGTTTTGAGGTTGGTTGAAAGAGAACAAAAGTCAGAGACCAGGGCTCAGAAACTGAAGTTCAAGCACCAACCTAGCCCCCAATTCCCTGCCTAGCCTTGGGCAGCTCACTTTCTCTTTCAGACAAAGAATTTAATGATTTTTAAAGTCTCTTCCAGTTCTGATGTTGTATATTTACATATCAGTTGCTAGCCTGATAACTCTTCTAAGCCCAGTTTTTCTCTCACTGGAATAATTGAAACTGCATGACCAGTTCTACCACCTATAATATGGTAGGTGGGAATATAAACTGATACAGCTACTTTTGAAAACGGTGCAGCAGTTCCTCAAAAGTTAAGCAGTTTACCATATGAGCCAATAATTCTGCTTCTAGGTATATAAAAGGTTAGGCTAAATCCAGATATAGAAAGTGTTTGCGAGTCATATGTCTGAAAGGATCTAGTAGCCAGGATACATGACTCTCACAACTCACCAGTTAAAAGACAAATGACCCAGTTTTAAAGTGTGCAAAGGATCTGAAGAGATAATTCTCAAAAGAAAATAAAGACATGAAGAAATGCTCGACATTAACTCTCAGGGAAATGTAAATCAAAACCACAATGAGATACCACTTCACAATTACTAGAATAGCTATATTTAAAAAGATAGATAATAACTAGTGTTGGGAAAGAGGTGGAGAAATTGGAAGCCTCATATATGGTAGGTGGGAATATAAACTGATACAGCTACTTTTGAAAACGGTGCAGCAGTTCCTCAAAAGTTAAGCAGTTTACCATATGAACCAATAATTCTGCTTCTAGGTATATACCTACAAAAATTGAAAACATACACATAACAACATTATTCATAACACCCCAAAAGTGGAAACAATCTAAATGTTCATTGATTGATGAATGAATAACCAAAATAATTATAACCATATATGGAATATCATTTGACTCTAAAAAGCAATGTACAAGAATGGGGCCTATTGAAGCTCTGTACTTTCTGCTCAATTTTGCTATGAACTTAAAAAATCCTCTAAAAATTAAAGGTTGTTAAATTTTGAAAAAATAATAAAGTACTGTTACAACATGGGTGAATCTTGAAAACATTATGGCAAGTAAAAGGAACCAGACACAAAAGCCATACATTGTATTAGTCTATATATGTGACAGGTCCATCAATAGATATATAAAAACAGAAAGTTGATCAGTGGTTGCCAAGTTTCTTCTTTCTTTTTTTTGGCAGTACTGGTGTTTAAACTCAAGGCCTTGAGCTTGTGAGTCAGGTGCTCTATCACTTGAGCAATGTCCCCAGCCCCTTTTTTCCTTAGGTTATTTTTGAGATATGGTCTTGCTTTATGCCTGGACTAGCCTGGACCATGACCTTCCTATTTATGCTTCCCATGTAGCTGAGATGACAGGCACACACCTCCAGTTGAGATGGGGGTCTTGTGAACTTTTTGTCAGGGCTGACCTTGACCCAAGATCCTCCCAATCTCCACCTCCCCAAATAGCTAGGATTATAGGCATGAACCACTGCACACAGCTAAGTACCAGATTCCTTTCTGAGGCAATGAAAAACATTCTGGCATTAGGTAGTAGTGATTGTTGCACAGCCTTGTAAATATACTAAACCTGCTGAGAGATGTAGGCTTTAAAATGGGAGTTTTGTAGTATGTGAATTACATCTGTTTTATTAAATGCACATGAAAATATACCAAAATATCAGGTATTTTGAAGCTTTCATATCAACATTCCCACTTTTCCAATAAGCAGTGATGCAGAGATCTGAGATGGATATAAAGTTGGGGCCAAGGAGTAATCCCAATATAGCCATGTAGATATACCATCCATCTCTCTGCCTCCCACTTCCATCCCTCCCCCCTCCTCAATTCTTCCTTATGTTAAAAACAGTGATCTACTGTTACAAATTTTTAAGCATATTTTTCTTTGTCTTTTCAGAGTATTAGACCCAAAAAGGGTATTACCAACAATGCTGTTTTGCCTGTCAAATCTACAAGGCCCGTCACCATTAAAATCCAGCCCAGATCAGCCAATATCACAGGATCCCAGAAGCCAAAATTGGAGCCACCAAAACTTCTGAATAAAAGACTGACTTCAACATGTGCTTCTGCTAACCCAAACTATAAACTGTCCAGCAAGAGTCATCAGCAGCATGAAGCTGGATCATCCACTGCAAGAGAACTGTCAAAAAAACCCATTAGATCACCTATCACACAAGAATGGAAAACCGCAAAACAGCAGGGAACAGATCAAGGAAATGCTAAATGTACAGACTTTGTGGATAATACCCATGTTGAAAACAGTTCTTTGGATGGCTTTCTCAATGAACTGAACAAAGAGAACTTGCCTCAAACCTTATCAAAAGGTTTGCAGAAGACAGATTCTGAATTATGTAACATAAGCAAGCCAAAGACTGACTCTTATAATCAAACCAAGAGCAGTTTGGGTCCTAAACAGGTCTTGGGCAAAAGTTCAGTTAATAGTGCTGTTTTGAAAGACAGGGTTAATAAACAACTTATTGGAGAAACACAAATCAGGACTCTACCAGTAAAGTCACAGCAACTCTCTAGAGTTGCATGTCTTGCAAGGCCAAGAGAAAAACCCCCAAGGACAGTTCCCCCTCACTTTATTCAGACCCTTACTAGGACTCAAGCATGCAATAAATCAGTGGCCAAGGATTTAATAATTTACAGGAATAAATGTGGAAGACCAAATGAAACTAAGTTACAGTCATACCCTGCTACTGAACAGAAAGTAGAACATACCAAACCTAGGACATATCCAAACTTGATTCAGAGAGACCATAACAACAGACATCCAAACATCAAGCAAGATCAGAAGACCTTGCACCCTTATCCTAGACCCCAGAAATCATGTGTTCTGCAAAAATCAAAAGACACAGACCAGAAGCCTAATTTGACAACTGGCAGCTTTAATTCAGTCATCCTAAGCACTCCTAGCACAAAAGCAAATAGAACCAATGGCAATAAATTCAATAACATCCTTCAACAAAACACACAGACTTTGGAATCCAAGTTGAAAAAGGCTCTTCCTCAGAACCATTTTTTGAACAAAACAGCTCCCAGAACTCAAGCTGGTATCACAACCATAAATGGAAGAGGAGTCCCAAATGGTGCCCAAACTAATCCAAATATTAAAAAGAACACAACGGCAGAGGATCGAAGGTACATTGTTTGAATTCCAAATTTTGTGACTTAAGATAATTGGACAAAATATTTGGTCAGGAAATAGTTCCTAAGTTAATATTAGTTACAGCCCAAAAAAAAAAAGACTTGAAGCAACTATAAGAAGTTTTAAGACTTGACAGAGATAGGTGATACAAACACGTTATAAGTCATTCTTTAATTATCTATATACTTTTTAAAAAGTTGAAACACAGAATAAGTGAGTATATTGGGTTGCACATGTAGAATACTCAAGAAATATGCAGAAACTAAACAGAAATAGAGCAAGAGGGTTAAAAACAGTTCAAAAAGTGAGCTCACCTAGCTAGGAAATGGAAGGTGGTAGTTTCTTGTCAAGCAGGCCAGTGACTGAGTCCAATTAAGTTATCAGGAAAAGGGCAGAAAGCTGCCATGAGTCTGGACCAAGTAAGTTTTGAAGTCAGCTCAAACATAGAAACAGTTGTTCAAATGCAATATTCAGATGATAGAAATCAGGATCTCGGATTGCTGAGGCTCAGTATTAAAGTGCATGATGCTTGAAACTGAGACAAAGGATTTTGTACATTTTCTGCCCAAGACCAGATAAAATGAATACAAAGTACATTCAAAATGCAAGTGACTCTCCCAAGAGAAGCACATGTGCATACATGGTTGTAATAGGGAATAAGAACATTCCTGACAAGGGTGAAAGAAGCATATAAAATTAGATGATAGCTAAAAGGTACAGCAGGGAAAGGAGGGACAGGATTTAGTCTCAGGATACAGTCCTGAATACTACCAGTAACCTCTTTGCCCTCTTGCAGAGACAGAAAATAATTTAAGATGATGAAATAAAGAGGGTAGGACTGGGATGACCAATCCAGATAAAAGGGTCAGGAGAGGTAATTCCAACAGTGACATCTGAGCTGAGACCTAAGGGTGTTGACAAGAAGGACAAGACCTGAACAAAAGGAAAATTGAGTGCAGACACCCTGAGCTGGTGAATGAGGAAGTCATAGTCTCTTTCCCAACCTATATCAGACAACAGAGGAGAGTGGTCATAAGACAGCGTGTAACATGTTGAGCATGTTTGATTACAAAAAAGGTAGAATCAGTAGAAAAGGTTCAGTCCATTCACTTGTTCCCACATGTTCCTTCAGCCCACAAAGTGCCAGGTGTTAGAAAGGAGTTAGAGTGATGACACAGACAAGTCTCCACCCTTATAGACTTATGGTTTGGGGTATATGGGGAAAGTACTAGAGAAATAAAATTGTGGTATTGAAGTCCTAGGAGCAAGTTGACTTTAGAAAAGGAAGGTTCCCTCTTCATTTATGATTAGAAGGAAGGCTAAGGAGATAGGAAGAATGGCAGGGACATGAAGGAAACACATATTTCCTGTCTCAATTTCTGTTACTTAATAACAGAAGTAACACTTTTTTAAGTAGGTGGTTAGAGTGAAAGTTAGTGAGGAGCAATCCAGACTGAAATAAGCATAGTATGGATTATACTCTAGGGTCAGAGAAACAAAAGGATTAATGACATTCATTTATTGAAAATTACTTATTGAAGCAGGGCACTGTGGCTCATATCTGTAATTCCAGCTACTCAGGAGATGGAGATCTCAGTTCAAGGCCAACTCAGGCAAAAAGTTAGCAAGACTCATATGTGGAAGGAGATAGGTAGGAGGATTATGGTCTGAGGCTGGCCACAAGCAAAACACGAGACTCAACCTGAAAAATAACTAAAGCAAAAAAGGGCTGGAGGCATGGCTCAAGTGGTAGAATGCCTAACTAGCAAGAACAAGGCTGTAAGTTCAGTACCTCTTTAAAAAATAATAATGATACTTACTGACATTCTGGAAAAGGCAAAACTATAGGGACAAAAAAAGCAGATCAGTGATTTCCAAGAACTGGGAGTCAGGGTTAATGTTGACTACCAAATAGCCTGAGGGAATTTTTGAAGGTGTTGGGCTATCTTATATCTTGATTATATGATTACATGACTTCATGCATTTATATTCACACAATCATACACTTTAAAGTGTGTGAACACCTGAGTATAACAGGTACTGTGTGCTAGGCACTGGACATCCATTCCGGTCTTCAGAGAGCTTGCGTCCTAGTGGATAGGACAGAAAATCAGCTTGCTGAGTAAATATGACAGAATAATTACAGATAATTACTGTTGAGGTAGGTATGTTTTGAGCAGAGGACTGAAGACATAAAACCCTGAGGCAGGAATGCACATGGTTCAAGAACCTGAAAGGATGCAAGAGCTCCTTGAGTGAGAGGGAGAGTGGTGTGACATGAGGTTAGAGAGGTAAGAAGTAACCCAATTACACTGTGCATTTCAGCTGTAGAGAACATGTTGAATTTTATTCCAAGAGTCATGGGAAGTCCTTGGCAGTGACACAATCTGCTTTACGTTTTAGATCAGTTACCATATGCAGAGTGACTCTGAAAAGGGTTAGAGTAGCAGCAGGGAGATTAAATGGGAAGGCTGCTGCAGCATTTCAAACAGAAAGTAACAATGATGGCCCAGTATAGTGGTAGCGTGGATAGAAGAGTGTTAATCTATACAATGATGCATCGAATATGAAGGAAAGATGACTACTCAAAGACAGCTCCAAGTTGTAGACCTTGAAACTGAATAGACTGAGGTGCTACTTATCAAAATAAGGAAAACTGAGAACATGAAAAGATTTAGAGATGGAAATCAAGAACTTTGTTTCGGACAATATTAAATTGAAATGCCTGTCAGACATCAAATAAAAGATAAACTAGGCAGTGTAATTTCAAAGTTTGAGACTCCAAGGAAAGAGCTGAATCAAAATGTGCATTTGCAGGTCATTAATACATAGGTTGTAATTTAACAAAGCAAGAATGCATATCTAAATACTGGTCTACACGTGCAAACACCCTGCTTAGAAGTAGTAGTCTATTTCCTGCTTAGAAGCGGGAGTGGGGAATGTGAATAGTGGAGAAGAGGGAGGATTAGGACTTTTTACCACCAGCAACCAGCTACTTAAGAAAACATCCCCAAAGCCTAGGCATGGTAGCACCTGCCTGTAGTCAGCACTAAAGAGGTAGAAGCAGGAAGATTGAACGTTCAGGTAAGCTCATCTCAAAATAATTTTTTAAAAAATTAAGAAAAGAGCCCTGAAATTATTGATCTAATTTATAAAAGAAAGAGAGTAGTATGTGGTCAGGAGAGGGCTAAGGAACTGGGTAAAGTGGATTACTTTGTGCACCAAGCCCTTGTTGAGAGCAGAATGCAGATTTGGTGAGTCTGGTTGACTGACAAAACATCTGGTGGGAGAGAAATGGAGTGCTGATTCAGTGATATCAGAGGTGAAGGGCTGTTTTAGGAAAGTAAGTGTGCAAGATAGCAGATGAAGAAATGAAACCTTTAGAGAAAAATAATGAAAAGGAATAATGAAGTGAAAGTAAAGGTATCTGAAGACAAGTGCTGGCCCCCTATGTATGATCCTAATAATCCTGACACCTGCCTTCCCGTGGATGGATGGACCCCATGCTGACATTGCCCATTTGTAGGTGGTTTCTTAATTCCACTCTCCTGACTTTGTCTATAGTCAGGCTTGTTTATACACAATCTTTACATATCATATACTTTAGAAGCTAGACTGTGTTTAAAAAAAAAAAAAAAAAACTAAAACCACCTCTCCCTTTAATTGCATAACAGAAAACAACTGGAAGAATGGAAGAAATCGAAGGGGAAAGTCTACAAACGGCCTCCTATGGAATTTAAAACTAAAAGAAAAATAATAGAGGAAATGAATATATCATTCTGGAAGAGCATCGAAAAAGAAGAAGAAAAGAAAGAACAATTGGAACTGTCCAATAAAATTAACAACACGCTGACAAAATGTCTGCAGCTCATTGAAGAGGTGAGTGAGGAAGGTGAACTCCCAGAACTTTCAACCAGCTTTGGATGTTTTCTTAAATATAACACAGGAGAGACTGCCTTCATCTAAGTAGAAATTTAGCTACTTGTTTTGGGTTTCTTTCTTTTTTTGGTATCGGTAGGGTTTGAACTCAGGCAGGGCTTCATACTTGCTAGGCAGAGACTCTCTACCACTTGAGCCATGTCTCCATCCCTTTTTCTTTAGTTTATCTTTCATATAGGGTCTCACCCTTTTGCTGGGGGCTGGCTTCAGGTCATAATCCTCCTGCCTCCACCTCTGTCGTAGCCAGGATTACAGGTATGTGACACCACAACAGCTCTAGCTACTTCTTCTAAAATAGAGTAATAGTAGCAATAGTAATGATGAAATGCACTTAAATAGTGTCTGTTGTGTGCCAGGCACTTTTGTTAGCATTTCACTTATATTTATCTTATGTAATTACCATGACAACTATTACTATGCCCATTTTACAAATGAAACTGAGACACAGAGAAGCTAGTGCAGCTCCAGAGGATCCAAACAGAGCTTTATCTTTGCCTTCTTCAGGTATCAGGGTTCAAAAAGTAAACATTTAGCCTTCAAATATGAAACTGAAAGACTTCAGTTTCAGAAACACAAGACTACATCCAGTTGGAATATCCTAGATACTCTTGATAGCTAGAAATGGTATCTAAATTTTGTGTTGGATTCTATAGATCACGATAAAGTAGACAGTAGGCAAGGGGTATGAGCCTTAGGAAATTCCCTGAATGAAAGCCATATTAACAAAAAAATGATTGGATAGATTTCTATACAGAGGTCCTTTCCTAAAGCAAACCCATTTTGTTCTTTGACTGGAAGTACTGGACATCAGCCAAAAAAAAGAAAACCATTAGTTCAGTATTTTCACAACATTCAGTAAAATGTTAACTATTTCTCCTTTGTGGAATTAAACTTCAATTCTTTTTTAATTTTTGCTCTCTGGTTTTTGTTGTATGAGAGAACACATGAGTACGTTGTTCTTATTAAAATCATTTCAAACAATACAACAGATAAATTACCAGGCCTCCCCACTCCACATACTTACATATCCCAAGCTGCTCTCTGAAGGTAACTACCATTGCCAGTTATCCCTCCAGTTTTTGTACATGTACATACAGATTAGGTGCATAGAGAAATGAAACATGTTTCTTCACATTTTATGTATGTTCTTTATGCTTTTCTTAAAATTTTCTAGTCTTGATATTTTGTCAAATGAGTTGGACATTTTCCTTTTTTTTTTCTATATATTCTGAGATTAGTTGGTATAACATGAGATTTACTTTGTTTTTTTGAAAGTCTGGTAAGAAGTTACCCATAAAATCATCTGGACTGTGCTTTGGGGGATAGGTTTGTGTATTTTTTCTATTTTTTTCTATGCTCATTGGTCTATTTAGGTTTGTATTTATTAAGCCAATTATAGTAAATTTTAATCCTCTTTTTTTTTTTTTGTACTACTGTGGTTTGAACTCAGGGACTCTTTTTGCTAGGCAGGCACTACCAATTGAGCCACTCCACCAACCCTTTTTATTTTTTTTTTATTTATTTTTTTCTTTTATTATTCATATGTGCATACAAGGCTTGGGTCATTTCTCTCCCCTGCCCCCACCCCCTCCCTTACCACCCACTCCGCGCCCCCTCCC